TGGAAAAAGTGGCTCACGCCCTCCAGGGCCACCCCCTGGCACATCGTCACCATTGAAATAGAAGCCCAGAGAGAGGTAGGTGTAGGAGGCCCTCAGATGCATGTTTACCAGGCGGTTGATGGCAGCCTCCACTGCGGTGGAATATTTCTTGACGCATCTGGGAGCTCACGGTTGATCGGTAATAAGGAGCTAAGCGCAAAAAAAGATGTTGGCTGGTCCTGGAGGCCCCGGATGCCTGAGTGGTTCGTTCTGAAGGTTACCACTGGAAAAATGGCTGGAGGGTGGTTGGAGGCTGGGGGAAGGGGCGTCCCTGGGTCTTTTCCTTTGAAACATTGTTGAAGCAAGAGACAGATCCTCAGGACCATGGAGTGCACTCTCACACCTAGTCTTTTAAAAACTAGGAACCTTAAAAGCTAAGGAATTAAAAAAATTCCTTAAAATGAGTAAATATCCATATCCATTGTTCAAATTTCCAGTTGTTTCATATATAGCATAAATGTTACTTTCTTTTTAAAAAATATTTATTTATTTATTTAGGCTGCACGAGGTTTTTAGTTGTGGCATGCGGACTTCTTAGTTGCATGCATGCGGTCTAGTTCCCCGACCAGGGATCCAGCCTGGGTCTCCTGCATTGGGAGTGCGGAGTCTTACTCACTCGACCACCAGGGAAGTCCCTACTTTGTTTTTAAAGCGGTCTTTATTTATTTATGGCTGCATTGGGTCTTCGTTGCTGCGTGTGGGCTTTTTCTAGTTGCGGTGCGCGGGGCTACTCTTGGTTGCGGTGCGCGGGCTTCTCACTGTGATGGCTTCTCTTGTTGCGGAGCACGGGCTCTAGGCGCGCAGGCTTCAGTAGTTGTGGCTCATGGGCTCTAGAGCGCAGGCTCAGTAGTTGTGGCGCACGGGCTTAGTTGCTCCGTGGCATGTGGGATCTTCCTGGACCAGGGATCCAACCCATGTCCCCTGCATTGGCAGGCGGATTCTTAACCACTCTGCCTCCAGGGATGTCCCCCTACTTTTTTTTTTTTTTAACAGTTGTATGAGTCAGAATGTAAATAAGGGTCTTGCATTGTGATTGGTTGAGGTGCCTTTTCAGTGTCTTATTAATAATTTCTGGGCTCTCCCTCTATCTCCCATTGGATTGTTTGACCTGTAGAATTTTTCATTGCCTGGATTTTGCCTTGGAGTAGCTTAACGTGCTCTTCCATTCTCTGTCGTTTCTGTAAACTGGTAGTTGGATATAGATATAGATGCTTGATCAGATTCAAAGTCTGTCTCTCTCACTCATGCATTCATTAATTCATTCATTTTATTCTGACTGCCTCATAGATCCATCAGGAGGCACATGTTAGGTTCTCTCTCTCTCTCCCTCTCTCTCTCTCTGTTGTTAGCAGTCATTGATGTCTGTCTCCATTATTTTATCAGGGGCTGCAAAGTGGTGATGGTCTAATTAATTCTGTCATTCCTCCCCCCGCCCACCCCCGTTTTTTGGGGGGAGGCCGTGCCACACTGCATGCAGGAATCTTAGTTCCCCAGTCAGGGATCTGATTGAACTTGTGCTTCCTGCAGTGGAAGCACAGAGTAGTCTTTTTTAAAAAAAATATTTATTTATTTATTTATTTGGCTACTCCGGGTCTTAATTGCGGCACGCGGGATATTTAGTTGCGGCATGCAGGCTCTTAGTTGCCGCCTGCAGGATCTAGTTCCCTGACTAGGGATCGAACCTGGGGCCCCTGGATTGGGAACGTGGAATCTTAACCACTGGACCGCCAGGGAAGTCCCTCCTTTGCCATTTATTGGCTGGAATATATTTATGGAGAGAAACTTTTCCTCAACTGCTGTTCGCTTTAGAGCTGGCCTTTATCTCAGATTCGTCAGACTCCTAAGCCATCGGTCACTTCAGTCCGTATTGTTCTGCTTCCCTAGGAAGTGTGCTAATGTTCCTGCATTTCTCATCCTCACCTGTGGGCTGGAACCCGGCGGGGGCTGAATCCCGTTGCTGGTGCACTTGTGTCTCCCCGGAGGTTCACGGAGCCCAGGCACCCAGAGGAACCGACCTTCCTTCTCCTCCCTCTGACCCCACTCCAACTCCTCCCACCAGCTGAGGCTTCCAGGACACCTGGGAGCCGGATGGAGCTCCCTGCACACCGAGGAAGCTATTCTTAGAAGCGCTCCAGATACAGCCCCTCGGCCTCTCCC